ATAAGGGCCAAAATTAATTATGAGAGTCAAAATACATAAAACCAGTCAGAATTACAATTATGTGTTATTACAAAATCTAAAAAAAAAATTTATATTCTTGTGAAAATCAAAATGAGTATTACATTGAGGTATTATAAAATTTTTAAAAAGGAAATTTTAATATTGATCATTTAATTTAGACTGAAATAATAAAATAGAGATGAAACAGGTAAATTTCACTAAAATTAAATGAAAAGAAGAAGTGAAATAGATAAATAGATTTTATTAGAATTAATAAAAAATTAGTCTAGCCAGATATAAATATAGCAAGATGTGAAGAAAGTGAATCACATCACATAAAAAATTATAGTTTCTTATTTGTCACTATTTATATTACATGTGTACATAATTATGCAGATTATTTTTTTTTTAGGCAATATCCATTTCACAAAAATTTGATTTTTGATAATTTTAGTTATTACACAAAAATATATTATGTAACATTAACTTCTAAATATAGAACTAGTTACTTTATTAGAATATGATCTATATTTGACCATCGTAATTGATTTTGATCCTCATAATATAATTTAATTCTCATAATTAATTTTGATTTTTAATTTTGACCATGACCCTAAAGTCAAAATATTTTAACTTTTAGATTTTAATTTTAACTTCATATATAATTTATTCAGTAATTTATACTCTCAATAAATTTTTGATAAACTTTACTTATAAAAAACTGTATTTATAAAAAAAAGAAAAGTAAAAAAACAGGAAAGGTAAAAAAGAAAGAAAAAATGAAAAAAAAAGTAAAGAAAGAAGGTAAAGAAAGAAAAGAAAAGGAAAGAATAGGAAAGTAGTAAAAAAATTTTTACAAAAATGTAACGTTATATATTATTCAATTACAGGTCATATATTACTAAGTTTATCTATCTTATAATACAAAAAAGAAAAAATTATCTCATGCTTGATTAAACAGATTAAATAAAAATATAAATTTGCAATATTAATCTTTCTAAAAAGGTAAAAAACTATTTTTTAAATTATAAATATTAATCCAATCAAATTAGCCAATTAGAATCCAATTTTCAAGTTTATATCATACATAATATTATACAATATTTTTTATAAAGAATAATTAAATTATTAATTATATTTAATTTTTCTTAATTTAAAATTTAAAATTTAATTTTAAATATAAAATAAAAAAATACTTATTAATTTTTTTTTAATTTAATAATTAAAAGTAATTTTAAATTTTTTTTATACAAAAAATTTATAAATTACTTTACTTATTAAATCTAAATTATTTTAAGTATTTTTTAGCAAAAATTTAAAATATTAAAAAGTATTTTCTTTTTATTTTAATTTAAACTTATTTAATTAAATTTATTAATTAATTTTAAAATTAACTTTAAACTATTTTTGAATTTTAATATATTTATAGTAAATTATATAGATATCTTATAGTAGAAAGTGAAAAACTTTATAAAATTTTTTAAGTTAATATTAAATCTTGATTTATTTTACCAAAAAAATTAGATTTAACTTATAAAGTTAAAATTTTTTTAATAGTTTTATTTTTTATTATAAAGCATTTATTTATTAATAAGAAATAGAATTTTAAAATATATAATCTGATTTAATTTAATTTAAAAATCTAGAAATTTAGTAAATTATTTAAATAGTAAAGATGATTCCTATAATTATTTATACAATCTTATTCTTTGTTAATAGATCTATAATAGATTTTATTTTTATCATCAAATAGTAATTTTATTTTATAAAAAATTATTAATTAGTAATTATAAAATTGAGTAATCTTTTTAGAATTAATAATAATAATAATTATATTATATTTTGTAATACTATTTAATCAATCTATTATTAAATATTAGAAATTAAATTTAATTTTTAGATAATTTTTAATGATATAGATAAATAATTACTATCTTTTAGAGTTTAATTTAATAATTATTAATCTTACATTAAGATCTAGTAATAATAGAATTTTATATTAAAAATTAATTTTTTATCTTATTTCTAAGTAATTTAATAAGCTCAATATTAAAAAAATATTTAATTCTAAATAGTAACTAGTTAAGTTATATATATTAATGATAAGTTATCTTATTAAGTTTAATTAATTAAAAATTTAAGAAATAATATAAGCCTTTATTTAATTGAAAAATTTCTAATATACATATATTAATAAAAAATATTTTTTTTATAAATAAAAAAATGTATCAAATAATAAAATAAAAAAATTGAATATCTTTTTTGTTATATTTATATATAAAAATATAATAAAATATATAAATCTATACAAAATCTTTTTATTATATATTAATATTAATATATTTATAAAATATTTTATATGTTTATTATTTTTTAAGTATTATAAATGTAAATATTCTTTTTTTTTTATTTTCTTCTTTTATAATTTTTAATACATTAAACTTTTAAAAGTAAAATTCTTTAAATAAATATCTTTAGTAACAAACTTAAAAAAATTGTAATAAATGAAAATTTTATTTTAATTTTAATATTTATTTTAACCTTTAGTAATATAAGTCTTTGATTCTTATATATTATAATTATTTATATAAGATATATTAGTATCTGAATATATATAAAATATTTTTTATTAAAATTACTAAAATTTTTTATTATTACTATATAAATTATAAAAAGAGTTTATAAGTAATCTTAAAATTAAAAATAAAATACATTTTAATATAAATTTAAAGTTTTTAATTTTAATTTTAATTAAAAATTATTAAACCTAAAAAATTTTTAATTTCTCTTAATCTTTTAATATATATTCTAAATCTTATTTTTTATTTTTAAATAAACTTTTATGATTTTAAAATATATATTTTTAAACTTTAATAGAATTTTATTAAATAGTTATTAAAAATTCAAATTTAATCAAAATATATTAATTATTGATTTATTTATAAATTGTAAAACAAATAATTTACATAAATAAAATTATAATAAAAATTGTCTTTTATTAATTAATAATATTAAAATATTAAAAAATTAAAGATTTAAAAAATGTGAAATTTGATTTAAAAAAAAAAATTATATATATAGGATCTTTATAATAGAAAAGAAAAAAACAGCTAGAAAAAATAAAAATTAAGTTTTTGCTAAATCATATATTTTGACCTAAAAATCATATTTGACATAAAAGTAAAATTGATTTTTTTCTTCTTTCTATTACAAAGATCTTATATTATTAATATTAAATAGTAGTATTATTAAATAGTCTGTAACAGTTATTAGAATTAATTTATTAATGATACAAAAATACAGAAAATACAGAAAAGATAATATTTATAAAGATCTATAATATCTATCTAATTTCTAGATACTATAAATAGTTTTAATTTATGAATAAATCAAAGTATAAAAACTTTATATTAGAGTTAGAAAATTAGTACAGTTAGTACAGTTTAATACAGTTTAGTACAATTAGTACATATAATAATTAATATAAAATTAGTACAATACAGTACAAGTATAGGATTAAAATTTACCTAATACATACAAATTTTCCAACTCTGCTCTATATAATAAATACATATTCTTAGTATTTTACTTTTTTTATTTTTCTAGTTTTCTAATATTATTATTATCTTTAAAATTATTTTTTATTATTATATTTAAATTTTGTAATATATATTAATATATAAAGTAAAGTAAAAGATATTATAGTTCAATTTAAAGTAATATAAGATGTTTCATTATTATATTATATATTGATGATTGTGTATATAATGTAATAAACAATGCATTTTAAATATTTGTTTAATTTTTTATAAATATACTAATAATACATGAAAAAATGAAACAATTTATTATAAATCTTTTAATCATAAATTTAAAAAATTTTATTTTAATGTAAAGTTAAAAATAATTTAAAATTTTTTTTTAATATGAAACTTTTGCTTATAAATTAAAACTTAAATTTATTATAGAATTTTCTAGTATTAAAAATCTAAATGTGTATTATTACCTGTTTATAATAATACATTTAAAGATTATGTTATTGATTATTATTTTGATTTACTAAATTTAATACATGAAAAATCTAATTTTTTTTTTTATGTAATGTTAAAGGCATTAAAATGCCTTTGATTATTGTAAAGTTACTAATTTCGATCAACACGGATCGTGACATCAGACGATTACCAAACATTCACGAAACGTCATCGAGATCAAAGTAGAAAATTAATCGGAATCTTTTTCGGATTTAATTATCCCAATTATCCTATTGTAAGAGGAAGAATTAGGTGAAATTAAATACAAATTTTGATCTTTGTTGGAAGTACGCCCCAGACGAGAAGAATTATGATCACATTCTTTGACTGGTTGCGAAGGTTTGAGAACCCCTGAAAATTTTCTGTGGCGTTATTGCATATACTTCATATATTAATTAAATAATTAACACGTGTTAATGTCAAATTATACAACGTAATGGAAATATATATATATATATATATTTATTTATTTTAAAAAAAGAATTTCTATTATTTATAATTTTTTTTTTTTTTCATTTATAATTTATTTAATTTCAACTCATTACCAAAAACATTTGACTGTTCATTCATCATGAACAAATAAAATTGATTAATACACTGCCACGGCAATGCAGAGATGCAGTGTGACGCATGACATTACACATGATTAACAAAATATTTGCTTTATGTGGCTTCATGCGAATTTTTTATATAAATATACCCAAATAAATTAAAGAAAAAATGTATTAAAAATTTCGTTTCAATATCAAAAAATTATTATTTCACAATTACTTCTTTCATCACGAAGGATTATAGCTTTTTTTTTTTTTTCCTTTCGCCTTCTTTTTTTTTTTAAAGCTGTATCCTGTTACTTTTCTGTTGCGACCCCTTTCGTTTCGCTATCTCTTAGATATACAATTTTTTTCTTATAAGGACAAGTTAAAAAAACGATAACAAGAGTTGTGGTTGACATTACGAAACATGGATGATGTCAACTTATCAGACTTTGTTCCCGTCATCAGGCAAATACTTTATGATTCAAATCTTGATTCAATTACTGCTAGGGAAGTACGACGGGAGCTGGAAAAGAAGTATGATTTAGATCTTACACCTCGCAAGCAAGAAGTACAACGTCTCGTTGAACAGTGTTTTGATGATTTAAGTAATTCTGATGAAATATATGAACCAGTAGAATTCAAATCGCCTAAAAAACAAAAGAAACATAGCAATCATTCTGAAGAAAAAACGAAAAAATCATCTGATAAATCTTCAAGGAAAATTCTTAAAACTAAAGGTAGGCCTTCTAAAACGCAAGTTAAAACTCAAGAATCCGATTATTATTCGTCCCTGGAGGACGATTTCCCACCACAAAAAAAGAGACGTGGTCGGAAACCAAAAGTTTCTTCGAAAGTAGAATCATCTGATGCTGAATACGAAAAGAGATTTGAGGAAGAATTGAATGGAGCGAATGTGAAAAAATCAAAAGCAAGAAATAGTGGTTCCACCACTAAAAAGAAATCGAGTAAACGAAAAAAGAGGGACGAGGAAGAACAGGACGGTGAAGAACCAAAGAAAAGAAAAAAAGGCAATACCGGAATCCATAAGCCTTTGATATTAAGTCAGGTTTTGGCAGAATTTTTACAAGCCGAGGAGGTAATTAATACAAATTTTCAAAAGGAGGGAGTTTTTTTTTTTTTAAAAAAAAAAATAAGGAAGAAAAAAATGACTCATTCAAATGTTTATTTAGATGTCACGACTTGAAGTAGTTAAACGTCTTTGGGCATATATCAAGGAAAATGAGCTCCAGGATCCCTCTGATAAGCGATTTATCGTTTGTGATGATAGATTAATGACCATATTTAACCAGGATAGAATCCATAGTTTTACAATGAATAAATTTTTGACAGTTCACCTAAAAAAGAAAGAAATATCATCCGATGGAAATGTTAAAAATATCAATGGAACATCTAAAAATTATCGTAAAAATGAAACTTCGAGTAGTGTAAGTGGATATAATGACGATGACGATGATGATCAAGTTAAAATAGAACCACAGGATTATGTTAAGGTTAAAACGGAATCCAAGGAGGATTATGTGAAGGTAAAAACGGAACCCAAGGAGGATTATGTTAAGGTTAAAATGGAACCTCAGGAGTATGATGTTAAGGTGAAAATGGAACCTCAGGAGTATGATGTTAAGGTGAAAATGGAACCTCAGGAGGATTGGGATAATGATGATGATGATGACGATTCTTATTGGTCTGAATGAATTTTGAATTGCTGTGTTGAGTTTTAGATGTTTTTCCCAGATAATAGTTAATTTCAATTATGTGGAAAAAAACTACATCAAATTCGTCTTATCTTACAAATAAGAAAAAAAAAATAATTATTATAATATACACAAGAATTCAAGTAAATCTTGTCGATTGGATAAACATTTTATATTCTTTTTTACGCGTATATAAATATACACTAAATCAACTAGAAATTGATTTTTTTTTATTTTTCCTTTTGCCGGATTGCTATATACCCTATCTTCATATTCATGTATTATATTTACTACCGGTATTTAAATCTTAATAGTTTTTTTTTTCTATAAAAAAAAAAAAAAAAAAAAAAAATAGTATCAATGTATAACTAATATAACTAATCTTGTTTTACGCTATTATTCATTTTATATACATATCAAAGGTACGTTCTGGGATCATTTAAATAATTAGCCTTGGCATAATATATTATTCCTAGTATATATATATAGAAAGAAATAAATTGTTTTTATAAAAACAATATTTTTGCCATGAAACATAACTCTAGTAATTATCTTTTAGCGGATGGAAAGTTCCTTTTATTCGAAACATATTTTTTAACATCTTCCTTTAGAGAAACTTGAATATGAACAGCAGAATTATGTCTGGTCTGTGATTCAATATCTTTATCCTTTAATAAAAAAAAAACATTGCGTTAATTATAATGAAGGAACTTTTTAATGATTGCCACTTACATCATCATCCGGTATAATATCATCAACTATTTGCACTGTGCTAGTTGTAGTTTTATAAGTTATCTGATTATGAGTTATATCATTTAAAGTTAAAACTAAATTAATTGACTTTTGTATAGCTGCTCCTAATCCATGAATTGTTATTGAAGGATGACTACATAAATATATGTAAGTAAATAAATAAATTAAAAATCAAATAATTAATTAATAAATAAATATTTTAAGATTACCCATCTGTCATTAAAAGTTTTTTGGCTCTAAATAATTGTCCATTAAAATTTGATCTAGTAGAAACATAAATATCTGTTGTTACGGTTGCGGGACGTTGTGGTTTTCTTTTTCGTACATCTTTTTTTTTTTTTTTTAAAAAAAATAAATATTTTGATATTTTGACATAAAAAGGAGGATTGGTCTATAATATTCACCTTTTCGCTGTAAAGGTTCCGATATTTTAATTTTCGTGTAATTTTTTTTTGTAGGAATCTCATCCACTTTTGATGAGGGAACATCTAATGATTGTTCTTTGGGTGTTTCGATTTTATCATCCTTTTTTTTATTTTTTTTATAGGGTTTGGTAGGTAATGACATAAAGCTTTTTTTTTTCGCTCGACCCATAATTTGAGAAGATACAGTATATATAAAAAAAAAAAAATTTCCTGCCCTATTTATAAATAGCGTCGTTACACGAGTTGTATGTTACGTAATCGCTATTTTCACGTGATTAAAACTATTTATAAATATTAAAAACGCGTAATAAAATTTTTCTTTCCCAATATCATTTTTTTTTTTTTAATTTAATAATAATAGTAATGGTAAAATTATAAAAATTCGTGTTATTTTCGAGTATTTCTTGTTTAATACTAAAAAAAAAAAATGAAATAATAATAATAAAAACTCTTATCTAGTCGAAGAAAGGGTTATCCGTGGCAGAAAAACGCATAAGGCTTGAAGCATTATTTCACGAAACGGTACGCCGTTCAACTCCCATTATCATCATCATTATCAATGTCATTAATCATAATCATCGTTATATATTTATATTTTTTTTTTAAAAAATAAAATAAAATAAAATAAAAAAACATATCATCTAATCAAATATACAGAAGAACTTTTATCAACTCAAAGAGTTGGAAAAAATCGCCCCAAAGATGAAAGGGATCGGTAAATATTTCTCAAGTTGTTCCCATCTGAATCGTCCGATTAAGTGATTAATCGTGAATTCCTTTTTAAAGTTTCGCAATCAGTGAAAGACATTCTGCAAAGTTTAGTAGATGACGATCTTGTAACGACGGATAAGATTGGTACCTCAAATTACTATTGGTCGTTTCCAAGTTGTGCTCTTCAATCGGTAGGATGGATTATATGATCGATTTGGATAATTACTTAATTGTGTTGTGCTCTTACGATGTCATTCTTTCCTTTGATCTTTTAGCGCACAGTTAAGATTGAAGGGCTTACTCAGGAACTCCAAAAACTTAAAGCAAAAAATGTTGAATTACAATCAAGTATTGAGTTAGCATATGGTGGACGCGAAACCACTGTAAATATTACTATTAACCGTTACTTTATTAATCCATTCAATATCAATCATTAAATTTCTATGCATGATTCAATTATTTATTCAAGGATGATCGAGCTATATTGTTGAAAAAGGTAGCAGAAGTGGAGATGATTACCAAAAAGTATCAAGAAGAATTGGCACATTATCGAGAATGTGATCCCGCACTTTTGGATGCTAAGGGTATTTTCAAATATACATTGTTTTTTTTTATTTAGTTTATATATTTAATGTTCAATTGTTTCATATAGAAAAGCACGGCGAGCTTGCATTGGAATGCGGTAATCGTTGGACAGGTATATTTTTTGATTTTTTTTTTTATTTTTTTTTTTTGTGCTAAAAAAAAAAAAGGAATTGATATACATTATATAAATTTCTATTTTTATCACTAGAAAATATCTTTATACTCCAATCTTATTGCTCCAATAAGTTCAATATTGAACGTGCCGATTTCAACCAACAATTTGGAATCCCGGAGGATTTCGATACATTGTAATGACATTATTTCGGGTCTAAATATTGAATATCCGAAAATGTAATTATAACAAGCATTGTTACTTGTAAAAGTAGCCTGGTATACCTTTTGCGAATTTAAATATAATCATGATGATTATTTCTAAAATTTAATACAATGAAAATTTACAATTTTATATATATATTTATATATAAATAAATCTACTTTAATGCTCATCAAATTCGTCTTCCATCAAAACATTTTCTTCATCTCTTGGCAAATTCCTGTAATTTCTTCCTCCAGATCTCCTTGGTTTAAAAACGGGACATTGTGCCATTATTATAAAAAACATGTCCTACGTAATGTGATATTCTTGTTAATAAATAATTAATAAAATCATGATAAATAATATGATTTCTCTTTACCTTGAGGAAATCCCACGTGTTACACCAGAATTCCCAATTTGGGATTTGATGCATTCCAGAAGCATTATGAACCATTCGGTTATAAACGATACCTCCAACAAAGTACACGATTAATGCAATGACGAAACTTTTTTTTTTAAAAAAAAAAGAAAAGAAAAAAAGAACAAAAAAAATTATCAACAAAGATTAACGATATAAATCAAAAAATTCAAATGAATTAAGATATACCAACATTGTTAAGAAGACATTCCATCCTCCCAAGCCTTCACCTTTTTTCGTGGTTGAACAAGCGACAGGAGTTCTCCATTCAAAAAAGAATCCACAATCCCTATAGGTTGAAATAAATGATGGTTGTCCCTATATATATATATAAGAAGATCATTTTTTTAAAAAATAGGGATGAGCAAGGAAAATGAGAATAAAATGGGAATCATTAAACTTAAAAAAATCTTACTTGACCCTCAACGGTTTTATCACAAATAAAGGAAATAACGGACGTTTTTCTATAATTCGTGGTACCACATTTGTCATTACCATTATTAAATTCCATTATAAGACTATCCCCTAAAAAAGAATGGTAAAAATTACACTTAATTATCTTGAATAATTATTAAATTTCTAAAACTCAACTTTTAATTACCTCGGATAATAGGAGTAGTAGAGGTTTGACTTTATTTAAGGAAATTAAATAAATAAGTTAACTTTATAAAAAATCTAAATGGAAAATTTTATAAATTAAAAATTTTAATTACCCCAAACTATTTCCTACATCATTCTTTGAACCATAAACACCAGTATTTTTAAGGTCAGTATTCGGATCACCCTTATATAAAACATCATTACAAATATTTATGCGAAATTTCCAATCTGTTTCGTATCCTTTAACAATCCAATCATCTCTTTAATGATTAAAAGAAGGAAAAAAAATAAATACGGATAAAATTTTCAAAAAAACCACGATTATACCTTTGAGGAAAGTTTACCCTTCAGTTTTTTTCAAAGGACTTAAATCATAATAGATTGTATCATTAGTAATAGTACATGGTTGTTGTTGTTCTTCAGCTTTTACAAAAAGACTTGAAGAAAAACTGCTAGTAAAAATAGTTAAACACAAAACCACCAAGGTGGTAAGGTGAGTAAAACGTAAAAACGTTGCATTACGAGGACTACTTGATAAATAAAGCATCATATTTGATCTTTTTATATACTTTGAAGTTTATAAAATACTGGTTAAGAGAACAAAAAAAATTGTTATCGGAAGTGATCGTTTCGAAGAGGAGGCTTAAAATTCTTGTGGTTCAAATTGTGATCGACTAGAACAATGTTCACCATATACTCCGACACCCAGACTCGAATTTTGGTAAATTTATCTGCCGATCCTTTTCGACATTCTTCAAAAAAAAAAAAAAAATAATGCGATCCATCTTCTGAGCCATTTATGAGAAAAAATTTATGTTTTAAAGATTTCTTCACTTTTATTTTCTCGTGTTTATCTTAGATCTAAAAACAAATTTGTTCTCGGTTTAATTTTAATTTTCATGTAGAACACCTTTTTGTGGAAAATAAATTTAAAGTTTTTTTTTAATCTACGATATTTTAATTACTTTATTTAATTTCTCCAGAATAAATCAATTGATGTGGTTAATAAATACAAACTGCCAAATTTCTTTTGATAGTGCAAACAGCTTGTGTTTATCGTGTTTAAGCCTTCCTTGGCAAAAAAATTTTCATTAGATCATAAACATAATTTTTTCATTAGGTGGCTTGTCCACGTGACTTGGAAGAAAGCGTATCGGTATTCTTTCGTTTGATAAATATTAAATGATTATCATTCTAATAATAAAAATGGATATTCATTAATCTAAATTAATTATTTTGAGAAAATCAAAAATATCATCATAATCTATTTATTAGTGTCGTAACGTTATTGAAAACCCAAGTTGTGAGTTCTCACTAACTCTTAATATAGTAGCGATATAGTTTGTCAGTTTCCTTAATAAATAAGAGCGTAAAACGATCAACTTTGAAACAAACGTCGTTTGAATAAATAAAATGTCAATAGAAACTCCACAAACAAAAATTAAGAACATTGCCGAGAGAAGGAATTTTACTCCAAACCATACTGCAACAGACTATGAAACTGTCGCTTTTAATACAGGGATACCGCTTATTATTGATAACGGTGGGTATTTACAAGATTTTTTTTTTTTTGGTTTTTTTTTTTTTTTTTTCACAAGTTTTATTTATCGAAAGGTTGAGTTTATTATTAATGATAGCTTGCAAGCCTAAGAAAAAAAATAAAAAGGAAAAAAGAAAAAAGAAAGTTATATGTTGTGAAAGAAAGGGCGTGAAGGCTAAAGCCCGCTGGCACCAAGAGAAACTCATCTTTTCAAGAACTATATTAAAAAAGTATTTGTTTTCTAATCAAAAAATAATTTTTAACATACTATTATTTTAGGATCATATCAATGTCGTGTAGGGTGGGCGAACGAAGATTCTCCAAGATGTAAGTAGGATACATCTTATTTAAATTTAAAATATTGTTATTAATTTCGTAATTTCCATCTTCGATTTTAGTACAATTCGATAGCATGGTATCAAAATATAGGGATCGAAAAATCAATCAAAGTATCTTGTTGGTGGGCAATGACATTTATACGGATGCTACAGCGAAATCAAATGCGAAGACGGCATTTGACGGAAATGTGGTATATAACTTTGAAACCATGGTAAGAATCACAGACCCTAAAGAAACAATTTTAACTGGTATTATTTTTAACATCTGTTAATTTGTTTAGGAATATATTTTGGATTATGTCTTTTACAAACTTGGCATCAATACTGACAAGGTATATCATCCGATATTGATGACCGAACCTGTTTGTAATCCAAATCATTCAAGAAAACGTGAGTCAAAATATAACAACTTTTGCATTTAATGTCAATACTACTTCGTAAATTAATTATTAAAGAGTGAACATTTTTCTTTCAGTGATGTCGGAATTGCTGTTTGAGTGTTACGGAGTTCCGTCTGTGTGCTATGGCATAGACGCACTTTTTAGTTTTCATGCAAATAACCTTTCGTTTGACGAAGGCGGAATCGTCCTTTCTTCGGGTCATACCACAACTCACGTTATACCTGTGTTCGGAGGTCGTGGCAGATTAGAACATACTAAAAGGTATTTATGTGAATCAAATAATTATGTTTTGACTTGATGTTTTTTGCTTGTTCGTTTTTGAAATATTATGTTAAATAATAATTATTTTAATAAATTACCCATATAGGATATCATATGGTGGATTAACGGCTACTGATTACATGCTTAAATTGATGCAACTGAAGTATCCCACGTTCCCAACCAAAATGACCATCAATCAAGCGCAAGTTAGTATCACTCCAATATAATGGATTATTAATTAAGCTTGGATGTTCAAATTTGTTCCGCATTGTACGTTTAATCACTAGAATTATATTAAAATAGCTCTAACGAAAGATTTGGCTCTTATGTTTGGTACCGTAAAAATAGCACCTTGTGCATAACTATACCTATGTCGCGCAAGATTATTTTAAAGAATTAAAAGAATACTCCAATCCAGTCACTTTTGCTGATAAAGACCGTATAATTCAATTCCCCTATGTACCACCGGTAAATAAGGCTCGATCAACATGATCTTTATAATTTTTCTATTTAATTTTATTTTATTGATTATAATTTAAATTGATCGTTATTTGTATCGTAGGCTAATGAGAAGACGGAAGAAGAATTGGCTAGACAAGAGGAGAGAAGGCAAGAACAGGCGCGTCGTCTAAAGGAACAAGCAGCTAAAATACGTATGCAAAAGGTAAATTTAATGTTATATCCAATCTACTTCAGTAATTTTTATTATGGATAATATTACATTGATTATTTGTACTTTAGTTGAAAGATCTCGAAAACAATTTGGAATCTTACGTTCAACTTAGAGAAAGCAGATTATCAATGAGGAGGTCGGAATGGATGGTAGGTATTATATCAAAGAAGAAAAAAGTAAGAATATAGTAATAAAAATTTGAAACAATTTATTTAAAGGAGGTTATTTTTTAGGCAAAATTAAAGGATAATAGAGTAGGCGATGAAGCAGAGTTAGAAGAGATTATTCAAAAAACCGAAAAATCCGTCCAACGTGCAAGAAACAAATTGTTGGGTATCGATGAAGTAGAAATCAAGGTTAGACCGATTTCTAGTCGTGAATAATTTTAACTTTATATTTAAATTTTTTTTTTAAAAAAAAATAATAATAATCTTTATAACATAAATATTAGGAAGAACCAACTTTTCCACTAGTGGATATCCCAGATGATCAATTGAATGATGCAGAGAAAAAAGAGAAAAAGAAACAAATCGCAGCCAGAAGCCTTTACGAAACGCGTCAAAGGCAAAAGGAAGCTAAAGAATTGGCCAAGCGCCAACAAGTAAGCTTCATTCATGTCTTTGAAATAATTATAATATGCTTGTGAATTTTATGTCTAATACCTACCCTTTAATTAGGAAGAGGAAGAGCGCGCAGAGGAACAGAGACGAATAAATGATTTTGAAGGATGGTTAAATGAACTAAAGAGTAGTTATGAGGTAAGTGTGACAAACCAGGTTTATAATGATTGATGATTGTTATTTAGAGGATTAATTCAATTAGTTCAATTTCAATTCCTTTCTAGGGCCAATTAGACAAAGTAAAAAGCTTGAAAAGGAAAAAAGAACAACTCTTGGATCGTAGGAGTCACGCCTCACAACTGCGAATGAAATCAATAGCTAACTTGGCAAGTGATGCACCACAGCAAAAAAGGCGAAGACGAGGACAAGATGGTAATGTCTGATTAACCTTATAATCTTTTTCAATGTGATTAAAATAACGTTTAATCTAACGTTCTACGTAATATTAGAGGACACTTTTGGAATGGATGATAATGATTGGTCTATTTACAAGGAAATTGTAAGTGTCTCTGCTTGAAATTCGGTTTAAATTTCATTTATATAACTAAATGTTGAATCCCCGCCGCCCTCTTATAATAGAGCAAAGAGGAAGATGCGTGGGAAGAAGAGGAGGAATTAACGCAATTAAGAGAGTATGAAGGCAAACTCCTTCAATACGATCCCGCGTTTTTACCGGAGCATACATTTGATGCAAAAAATTCACAGCAAAATTCCCTCGTTTATATGTTGACACGAGGAATTTCTCCTCCATATGACCCAGAAAATTTTGGACAAATGCATCAGTTACATGTTAATATAGAGAGAATAAGAGTACCCGAGGCATTGTTTCAACCTAGTATAGTTGGATTAGATCAGGCCGGTGTGGTTGAAACTATTGGAGACATTGTTAACAGGTTTGACCCTGACGACCGCCGACAGATGGTTAAGGTAAGAAAGTAGCTTAAAGATGACTTTTTATTTTTAGTGAAATTCCTTTCATACTAATATATATTCCTTATTTATTACAATATGTTGTTAGTCTGTATTCGTTACAGGTGGCCATACGCAAACACCAGGACTTTTACCTCGATTAGAGGTTTCACTTAAATCTATATTGCCTTCAGACGCATCTTTAAAAATAGTTCATGCTAAAGATCCAGTACTTGATGCATGGCGCGGTGCCGCATTGTGGGCTAATACAGAGGATTTTTATAAATATGCAGTAACCCGTCAAGAATATCAAGAATGTGGTGGAGATTATCTAAAAGAGCATAGATTTGGTAACGTATATAGAACGTAATTTATATTCCAATAGATTTAGAAAGGAAAAAAAAAAATTAATATGCTTGGCTTCTAATATGATTTATTTCCAACAATAAAAGTTTATTAAGTTTAAAGAAATTTCAATTATGTAACACTATCTATATATTATTAATCCTACTACCATTAATTGAATTCTAGCTTAATGTATTAAATTTATTAAAGGTTTGTCTTTTATACAAAATTTTATAAATATCAATTTATTAGTCCGGAGTGTAACGAAGGACTATAAACTCTATGCAAGGTAGTCGCGTGACGATATCCGGTTGTATGCACGCGTGATTTTTGATTGGTTGATTTTGTATCCGGCATATGTTTAATTGTATAAATAGGCGCATTAAAAAAATAAATTTTTCTTCTTCAATCATGAACTTTAACCAATACCGAGACATATTCAATAACGAAGAACATAATACAAAGAAAATTAAATTCTCAAACGCACATATTCCTATTCACGAACAAACCTCAACAGAATTGAAAGATTGTCAAAAAAAAAAAAAAAAAAAAAAACGGGACAAAAACGAACGAAAAAATTGTTCTCGAAAAATAAGAACAACAAAAATAAACGTAAGTAAGGGTCTCACTACAATAGTCATGTATAAGAGATGAATCGTTTCGCTGTTAGGCAGCCTCACTGCAGTAGTCTTGGACGAATCGTGGTTATAATTCTCATTTGGTTTGCTTAGTAAATGTCTTTTTATCTGGTTGCATTGTATCTATTTATACATGCTTCTGGTGTCTTAGGAATACCTGGCCAGTTGTGAGATACTTTGAGAGT